GCAGCCCCAGCGGGGTGTGCAAACAGCTTTGCAGCGAAGGGAAATGCCTCGAAGGCGAAGGCCGGGGTGCCTCGGAGTTGAGCTGCTTCCCAAAATAATCCAGGGGGAGCTGTCTCGGATTCTGAAACTGGGTCTGGCCGCCCAAGCTGCAGGAAGCCCCAGACCCACACCAGCCCCACTCAGGGAACAGATGGTGCTGGGATTTTTCTTTCTTTTACCTAAGTCAGCTGGTAAGCGAACAGCTTGTCTAGAGAAAAGCGCGCTCCTTCCCCCTCTTTGTTGGCAGTGGATCAAAGCTACCTCTCCTTCATCCCCCTCTTGTCACTGTGACTTCCTCTGGCCTCTTTCCCTGAGACTCAGGTAGGGGCTGGGGGCGCTGCAGGCCTTGCTACCTCACAGCAACCCCATGCAGACCTTCCTGGCCCCCTCAATCTTCAAGGGCCTGGGCTGAGATGAGATGCAAATTCTGAGGGGCCCGGCTGGCTGGCAAACAGACAATGGGGACACACATTTTCTAAGATCTGGCCAGCTGGACTTGTGCTGGCCACCAGCTTCCCAAATTCTTTCAGCCATCCACATGTGATTCCGACAGAGTGGCGTGCCTGTCTCCTGAGCGGGCAGTACAGCAACAGCCGGAGGATCTTCACAGCTAAGCAGTAAGTGCGCACAAGCCGGGCCTTCCTGGGCATGTGGGCCCAGGGCTGCGCTGGGAACTAAGAGCCAGCACAGACTGAAGTTCTGCCCCGGAGAGCTTGCGGCCTAGGGCGGGGCAGGCTAGGGCCCAGCGGCTATGGCTAGGCTACGGCGTGAGGCCCTGGAGTGTGGGCCTCCTGTGCTCCCCTGCGACCCTGGATGAGACCCTGGATGAGTCACTCGTCTCCCTGAGTCTCAGGGTCCTTGCGTGTCAGACGGAAGCAACCAGAAACCTATGCTTCATGGTTACTGGGGAAATGCTTTTAAAAGTTTGAAACGTGGCAGGGCACCTAGTGTTCGGTAAGTCGTCAGACGACATTGCCACTGTCATCGCCGTCATCACCACTGCTGTCACCACCACTGTCCTCATCCTCTGGGTTAGT